CATGGAGGGAGGTGGCAGAGACAGTGGGTGAAACTGGTAGGTTTTCGCCTGTTTGGGGATTTTATATCCAGTTTACTTCGTTTTAACATTGCTATTGCTTTGTATGTCGGGGGCGGGAAATTCATGTGATTGGTTGTTGGTCGTGTTGCTCGCAAAAAATCCCCAAGCTTCAACGCACGCTGCTGTGTGGACGCTCCGTCAGTACACTAGAAGCATATGGCCTAGTTCAGTGCTGGAATCAAACAAAACATGTGACAGCATAGGAGTGGGTGCAACATTTATCATCTAGGACTTCCAATATTTTCACAATCGCCCCCAACCAGTGAAAGTTGTCTTTGTTCATCTTCAAAATGCTATTACGCTTACTTAAGAACATCGGATAATGAGGGTTTTCAGAAGTTGAACTTTGTTGGCTTCTTGCTACACTGAGCAGCTTTATACTAAACAAAAGCTACACTGCTACACTGAGTAGATTTTATAAAAAAATAAGCCCTGCTGTATCCATTTCTAGGTTTCTCTAGAGTCTAAAAATGACAGCACCATGTGTGAAATAAAGTTGATATCAGGACAGCCGCACATATTGAGACATGCTTACACATTCCTTCCCTTGTCCTACATCCCCATGCACACCAGTATCTGTCCTGGTGAGAGTATGACATATCAGCTGACCAGAAAAATATCTCTGACATTCAAAGTCTACATGATGCAGAGTTTCCTAAAGGTCAGCCTTCAGGCTAGCTACACACGGTGCTAGCTTTTGACTCTTTACTTTACAGTGCCCTCCAGAATGATTGGCACCCCTTTAGAAAAATGAGTAAAACAAGATGCAAAACATTTCTTTATTGGTTGTCCTCATGATATTTAATTCAAATGATCGTCTGATTGTCGTGTTGGAGACTTTCTGACCCCAAGACTCAACTAACCTTTACAATTCTCCAGCTGTGATCCTTGGAGATTATTTTGCTAGTCGAACCATCCTCCGCACTGTGTGTGGTGTCAATGTACACACACATCCTCTTCCAGGCTGATTCTTAACATCTCCTGTTGCTTTAAACCTCTTAATGATTCCCTGATAGGGAAATGGGCATTTTCAACTGTTTCAAGATGTTCTTATATCCATTTTCTGATTTGTGCAGCTCAACAACTTTTCGTCACAGATCATCACTGTGTTCTCAGGTCTTTCCCATAGTGATGAATGACAAAAGGAATTTTGGCCTGTGTCACCTCATATTAATACCCCAGTGAAACAGGAAGTCATGGTTGACCAATTAAGAGTTCCTATAATCAAATCAATATATGACTGGAAATATACTTCAGTTAGATTTTAATCATAGGATTTTCTAGGGGAGTAATAATGATTTTTTTGTAGGGCACTGTACATGAAAGTGAATTAAAAGCTCATATATAGCTACCAACAGAACTTCACACACACTGGTGTGTGTGTGTGTGTGTGTGTGTGTGTGTGTGTGTGTGTGTGTGGTGTGTGTGTGTGTGTGGTGTGTGTGTGTGTGTGTGTGTGTGTGTGTGTGTGTGTGGTGTGTGTGTGTGTGTGTGTGTGTGTGTGTGTGTGTGTGTGTGTGTGTGTGTGTGTGTGGTGTGTGGTGTGTGTGTGTGTGTGGTGTGTGTGTGTGTGTGTGTGTGTGTGTGTGTGTGTGTGTGTGTGTGTGTGTGTGTGTGTTGTGTGTGTGTGTGTGTGTGTGGTGTGTGTTAATTTGTAACAGTTAAATTAATGATACAAATGATATTTTCCCCCAGTATGCTCCTGAGTTTAATTTAAATTCCAAAAGCGAGGTGTGACACACACAGATTTAAGAGAATAGATGATACCAACTAGCAAATCACTAACTGCTTTCATATTCATAATTAATCTCTCCTCTCTCTGTCTGTCTGTGTGTCTGTGTGTCTGTCTGTCTGTCTGTCTGTCTGTCTGTCTGTCTGTGTGTGTGTCTGTCTGTCTGTCTGTCTGTCTGTCTGTCTGTCTGTCTGTCTGTCTGTCTGTCTGTCTGTCTGTCTGTCTGTCTGTCTGTCTGTCTGTCCTGTCTGTCTGTCTGTCTGTCTGTCTGTCTAGTATATTAGCAGCAAGATTCTTAAAAGATATAAGAAAAGACAATAAAAGTGTTTACATCAGACCTAGATTTACCATCAACCATGGCGGAGTTCATCATGGAGGTCCGTGTTAAAGTAATGCCTGCACCCTAACTCCATAGGAACCTTTGGGAACATTAAATATAACACGTGATGTTGACCGTGACGTTCAGAGGTCCAATCTTGAGCTTTTAGAGCCCTCAAGCTGTGTGTGGATGGCACACATCCACCCACACATCAGCTTCACCAGTGAACTGGTAGTGGGTTAGCTGCCAAGAAGGCAAACCGGAATATAATCATGTGTGTAAAAACAACCCCAACAAACATTGTCTAACACTACTGTACCATTTCTTCATATGTGCTGTTTTCTCTGCATACTCTAATGAGGGTTATTATTCTCAAGCGCTTCAAGGCCACAGAGCTGATTTGGCAGACTATGTTGAAACTACTCCTCTTCACACTAAGTTTGAACTTCCATATTCTGATAACTGTTATACTTTCTATAGCTCAAGGACACAGGTGTCTAATAGCCACAGAGCAGTATTTATGGCTGTAACCCCCGGTTACACCCTCAAAGCATCCACAGGGAGTTTAAAGACCTCTGAGCACATACATCTTTGAACAGATAAAAGAGTTACAATTCACCTCCATATAATCAAACGTATTATACGCCCACCTGTAATCATGTGACCAAGGTACTTATAGGAGCTGACCTGAGTTATGGGTTCATTGTGGATAGCCACCGGCCTAAGGTCACCCACTGCCTTTGGGTCCCACATAGGGGTGCAACAACTAATCGACTTAATCGATTAAAATCGATTACCAAATTAGTTGCCAACTAATTCAGTCGTCGATTCGTCGGTGACGTCATCACGTGTGTTTTACGCGCCGTTAAGCTCCAACGTTATTGGTCTTTTTTATCGGTACTGTATGTATTATTGCTACAAAAACATTATATCGCAGTCTTAGTGTCGCCAACTCGTTTCTACTATGCAAAAAGACAAACAAATGCGTCTGATCATTTTCGATCAGACGAGATCTCTCTCTCCCGTTTGTGTGCGAGGGGGCGGGGCAGTTTACACACACGCAGCTGCTACAAGCAGCAACACACTGCTGAGATGGCGGAGAGAACGCGCTCCGAGGTGTGGTTAAACTGTACCCGTCTCGAGGTGGACAATGCTCGTTGCCAAAGTGCAATAAGAGTTTAGCATGTAAGGGCGGTAACACGAGCAATTTGTCTAAACATTTAGCAAAAGTGCTCCACATCCAGACGGAGGAATGCACCGGGTTCGACTGTCTTTCTAGCAGCTCTGTAGCCCCATCCACGAGTAACGTTTCCACGTCAGGTGTTATGTATGCTAGCAGCAACACACGGAGTTAACTACATTATACAAACATGGGTTAATGATTAGAGGAAACTGAGTTATTTATTTAGTTAAAGTTTCAGCTATTCTGTTTACAGTTCTGTCATCAGATTATTTAATACGATTTGTTAAAACACTGTTGTTTCTTTTGATGTGAAATATTATGTATTTAATTTAAATAAAAAGCAATGTTAGTTTTGTTCAAAATGTGTTTAGTTAATTTAATAATATATGTATTTTTGAATCAAGTATTCATCTTTATTGTCTTCATTGTTAGTTTCCACATGCCTAAAACAACCTCAAGCTACATCTAAAAGTTGACGGCTAAATAAGAGCGCTTGAGAAATTGTGCAAGGCATACAGGAATAGTCCGAATAGTCGATTAATCGTTTCATCGATTATCAAATTAGTCGTTTGTTGCAGCCCTAGTCCCACACCATCTTCTCAGTCTTCTTCACATTCAGCACTAGATGGTTAAAATCACACCACTGCACAAATCTCTCATTCAGAGTGATAAGCCGATGACTAGTTACTGTTTTTCTCTTTTTATTCTTTGAGAACTTTAATCTTGCTCAACCCTTTGAGGTAACCTTTTGTTTTGTTATCCAGCATTATGCTACACAGGCCAATCAATTACACAGGAATATATTCTGGGTACATCATTTTCTAATGTGCTGTTTTTAAGAGTTGTTTTTGAGCTAAATGTACAGTTAGAGTCCACAGCCATATGGGAGGCTTGTGTTAACACCAGTGTGTTTTCAGCTGTGAGCTAGCGTAGGCTAACTTTTTGATAATTGGTGATACAAAGAAAGTACATAGAAGATTGATGGCACCAGCACTAAGGCTTAAAAAAATAGTTTTGAAAGTAATAGTTGACAGTTTGATACCAGCTTGATGTCCTCTCTCTGAGAAAAGCATTTCAGCCCCATCAGCTACTAATTATCCTGCATGAGCTGACATTTCAATGACTTGTTTCATGCCTATGTTAATGTCATCAGAAATCAGGTTATATATTCACAGGTTATTGGTGTGTGTGTGTGTGTGTGTGTGTGTGTGTGTGTGTGTGTGTGTGTGTGTGTGTGTGTGTGTGTGTGTGTGTGTGTGGGTGTGTGTGTGTGTGTGTGTGTGTTGTGTGTGTGTGTGTGTGTGTGTGTGTGTGGTGTGTGTGTGTGTGTGTGTGTGTGTGTGTATGTGTGTGTGCTGTGTGTGTGTGTGTGTGGTGTGTGTGTGTGTGTGTGTGTGTGTGTGTGTGTGTGTGTGTGTTGTGTGTGTGTGTGTGTGTGTGTGGTTGTGTGTGTGTGTGTGTGTGTGTGTGTGTGTGTGTGTGTGTGTGTGTGTGTGTGTGTTGTGTGTGTGTGTGTGTGTGTGTCCTAGCTATTCCTCCTACTTGTTGCTAGGTGCATGATGTCACAGTCTGACTCTCACCTCATTGGCTGTTTCTTTCTCTCTCATCTGTAAACTGTAAAGTCCACTGAGACAAATGTAACATTTGTGATATTGGGCTATATAAATAAACATTGATTGATTGATTCATCTTTTTGCCTATTTCAGATATTGTGGCGAGCGTGGAGAGGGTGGCGAGGCATTTCTATCCTCCGTTCTCTGGTTTTCCTTGGGCCCTGTGAGAGCACTGAGACACTCTCATCACTCTTTGTCCTCCTCTCTGTCACTGTCCTCTCTCCTTCTATCCATCTCTCTGTCCGTCAGCGGGTCCTGAGCAGCACACAGTAAAGACTCTGTGAGGTACTCAGGCAATGCAGAAGTATATCTGAACCCAGTGTTCAGCCCCCCCCAGCCCAGAGTCTGGCCCGGTGCCACAGGGTCCATCAGGTGATGAGGAGGGCCAGGGGGCTCATCTCTTTCTAGACTTTCTCTTCTCAACCTTGTGTCTTCATGTATTGGGGGTCCTCCGGTGCCCCCGCCCTCTGTCGACCTCCCCGCACCTGCTGCCACCACGGCCGGCCACCCCAGTCGCCTCGTTGCCATGCCGACAGAGACACTGGCTCCAGCCCTGCCAGATAGCAAGGCCGCTGGCCCCGCAACGCCCTTCAGTTCCACCGTACCCCTCCGCATCCTCAATAAGGGCCCGGACTACTTCAGGAGACAGGTACGTGTGTGTGTGTGTGTGTGTGTGTGTGTGTGTGTGTGTGTCATTTCACTTCACACATTTTCCCTCCTCGGTACTCCGGTAGTGACCCCTCGGTCCTCCGGTAGTGACCCCGTGCCATGTTGAAGGACATCTAATTTCTCTAAATGTACTTCGAGGATCGAACATCGAGGAGGCTCTCTGGAGGAGCTATAATTGAGGATACACTGATGGGTCCTCTAGTCCTTACTGCATTTGAATTAATGTCTCTGAATGCCTCAAATGAAACAAAATATATATAATGTCCGGGTCCTAGCATCTCACATTAAAGCATTAAAGCAAGGAAGAAAGCCCACAGGATTATAAAAGACCCCCATCACCCCAGCCACAAACTGTTCTGTCTGCTGCCGTCTGGCAGGCGGTACCGCAGCATCCGGACTAAAACCACCAGACTCAGGGACAGTTTCATCCCACAGGCCATAAGACTATTAAACACCTGAACTTGAAACAACATCATAACATTAATCTGGCTGCTACTTGGGAATTATTTATCTAATACATCATTCCAATCACTTACACTAATTCACTTTTTTACTATTTTTTCCTTTTGTATTTCCTTTTGACTTGCACTGTTTATCTGTGTTATTGTGTTGCACTGTTGGAGGAGCCTGTGACCTGAGATTTGCATCTTCATAACTAAACTGTAGCTATGATAAATAAAAGCCTTGAACCTTGATGTATAAATAGAAGACTGGTTTGAGTCAGGGAAATATGTAGCCAAATAATCGATCAACAATCAATTGGCCTGTTGGCTGACTAAGAGCATTGTTTATTTCAAACAAAAAAGCACTAGGCATAACTCAATACCAACAACTATCATATACCAAAGACAGTCACCTAACACAGTATTATTAATGCTGAAGTTCAAGGCTTTTATTTGCCAGACGTACAAAGCTACAGTGTAGTTATGTCGATGAACATCTTAGGTCACAGGCTCCTCCAACAGTGCAACACAATAAAACAGAAAAACAGAAACAATTGTGCAAGTAAATACAACAAAAAATACTGAAATAGTGCAATAAGAGTCTATATACAAGTGATTGGAATATGATATATTAGATACATAATTTGTAAGTTGCAGACAGATTAATTTTATGGATGTTGTTTCAAAAGTTCAGGTGTTTAACAGTCTTATGGCCTGTGGGATGAAACTGTCTCTGAGTCTGGTGGTTTTGGTCCGGATGCTGCGGTACCGCCTGCCAGACGGACAAGTTTGTGGCTGGGGTGATGGGGGTCTTTTGTAATCCTGAGGGCTTTCTTCCTGAGCCGCTGGGAGTAAAGATCCTCCATGGAGGGCAGCTCCGTCCTGGTGATGTGCTGTGCAGTTTTCACCACCCTCTGTAGAGTCTTACGGTTGAGGGCGTTGCAACTGCCGTACCAGGCCATGGTGCACCTGTAGAAGGTCAGGATCCTCTCTATGGTGCACCTGTAGAAGGTCAGGATCCTCTCTATGGTGCACCTGTAGAAGGTCAGGATCCTCTCTATGGTGCACCTGTAGAAGGTCAGGATGCTCTCTATGGTGCACCTGTAGAAGTTGCAGAGTATCCTGGAGTCCATGTTGAACCTCCTCAGCCTGTGGAGGAAGAAGAGCTGCTGTCGAGCTGTTTTGGTGATGGTGTTAGTGTGAAGAGTCCATGTCAGGTCCTCAGTGAAGAGTCCATGTCAGGTCCTCAGTGATGTGGACACTGAAGAACCTGAAGCTGCTGACTCTCTCCACCGTAGTCCCATTGATGGCGATGGGGGCGTGTCCCTCGCTCTGCTGCTTCCTGTAATCCACAATCAGCTCCTTTGTTTTGCTGACGTTGAGATGGAGGTTGTTATCCTGGCACCAAGATGTCAGGTTTTCGACCTTTCGCCGTCTCGTCGCCGTCGGTGATCAGGCCGATGACGGTCGTGTCGTCAGCAAACTTCACGATGGTGTTGGAGCTGTGTGTGGTCACGCAGTCGTGTGTGAACAGGGAGTAGAGGAGAGGGCTGAGCACGCAGCCTTGAGCGGCTCCGGTGTTGAGGATCAGGGTGTATGAAGGTAGATATGGTGCAAAATGCGAGAGCTTGTAAAACCTGATGTGAGCACTTGCAGAAAAAAACTTTGAGCTTGTGTGCATACTAGTGCTGTAGCGACGCGTCGACGACGTCGACGTCGACGCGTCGACTTCAAAATATCGTCGACGACATATTTCCGCGTCGACGCGTCGCTACACACACGTGGGTCACCCAAAGCAACAAGCAGTTCGCAATCGCACTTCAAACACAATGGAGACTGAAACGGCTACCACCTCCTCCTCACAGGATTGCGCACGAAGCCCCCAAACGAAAACATCTCGCCCTAGGTCTTCAAAAGCATGGGAATATTTTAAAGTTAGTACAAAACGCAAAGATATTTATATATGTATATCTCACTGAGACTGCTGCATAGCCTAGCAGAAGCAGCAGCTAGCTGTGGTGGCTACCATTAGCAGCTAGCATTTGCTCTCCGATTTTTTACATAAAATGGAATTATGGATTATAAATTCAATCATTTTTTTATACATAGACGTTAAGAACCTATGGATTAACCGATTCAGCCGCGTTTTTTCTCATTTTAATGCCATTGAACACGTCTTTTGATCAGATTACGGTGGTGAGACGATCTCCCTAGAAGCTCTGTGAAGGTACGTGTTGTGATGACTGTATTTGCTTCCCCTGTCGCGAGTCCGGATCACTCAGTGATGATACTATATACCTACATAATCTGTGGAGTCTCAGCTTTAATCGGATATATTGTAGGTGCAGCTACGATAAGTAATAAGGGTACTTTTATCTTGAGTTCTGTGCCAATGTCCGTTAGCATTTTTCGCTCAGGGGTCATTTAGATGCTTCTTATGAGACTTGTGTTTTGTTTTGGTAAACATGGTTTGTATCGTCAATTAGCTGAGATTATTTCCGTTAATCTGGTATAACACATTAATAGGTTCTTAAATATTAAGATCCCCTGAGACACAGTATCGTGAAAAAAAATGTTTTTACATTACGTTTTTTTTACATTACGTTTTTTATGAATTGAACAACAGAAAAATTATCGTTAGATTAGTCGACTAATCGATCAAATACTCGCCCGATTAATCGGTTTTCAAAATAATCGTTTCCCCCCAGCACTAGTGCATACATTTACATTTGTATAAAAATATCCACGCATCTGTGAACCAAATTTGAAGTCACAGAAAGAAAAAAAAGTGTTGTAGCTTACGTGACGAAATGTTCACTTGCAGAAAAATACATATTTTTAAAAATAAATGTTCCATTACAACTGCAACTTAGTTATTACAACCTCTCAAATCAGTCATTACAATGTCACGAATCTGCTCTGTGGCAGTATAAATCGACAAATCTGCGGCCTTGACTTTTGCTACACTTCTTGCGATGAATGTGTCGCTAAAGTAATTTTTACCTGTAGATGTGGGGGAGGGAAGGGGGTTGGAGCTATCAGAACGACGAGACGCAAACTCGGGTCAGTCACACACAGTCACAGCCAGTCTGCTGTTGCCCCTTTCACACCAACCCGTTAACTCACAGCAGCGGCCGCTCTAAAGTATTCACTGTCTGACTGTCACACAAGCAGCCGATACATATCCCCAATTCCCCATAAGTGAATGTGTGTCAGTCTGAATTGATGCTGTTTGGCATCACAACGCTGTTATGAAAGTTTCTCTGGTATAAAATGGGTGATGTTAGCATAGCAACCGAAGCTAAACTGACTATTGACTACTTGTTGCTATCCTATTGTGGCATAAGCCGTTTTCTCCAGGCACATTTTACCGGCGTATTTTTCATTATGATTCTACTTGTGATAGTCGGACACGACAACCTGTGCAGCCCATGTATTGATTCCATTTGATCTGCTATAATACAAAACTGCCTCTCTCCACAATGATCAATAACAGTGAACGGATGATCAAAGTAGTAAGGTACAAATAAACAGAATCACACGAAGCCTGGTTAGTGTTGCCTGACTTTATAAAGTGTGTGGTTGCGTTCTAGTCACTTTGCTCAGCACTACTGCTTGTTACAACTTTTATTTGCCGTAGGCTACTCTCCATAAACTGTTAGCTCAGGTTAATCTCTAATTTTTTCGAGCTTGGTAAGAACTATTGTTGCACGGTGTACCGATACTTGAAAGGTACCGCGATACCCTGCCGTTAAAATCGTTACGATTCCTCCGTTTCATTAGTATCGGTACTTTAAGAATGACGGGGAAAAGTACTCCGGTGAAAAAGCGCCGTTTTAATAAGAGCCGTGTTTGTTCAGCGCTCTGCTTCCACTCCCTGCACTGCAGCCGTGCCTGCAGTCCCGCCCCTCTCAAGCACGCTCTAAGTGCCTCCCCTCTCTCGTGCACGCGGCCACGCGCTAGCTGCCAGAGCATGTGAGAAAACGAGAAACATGGCTGCAAGTGGGAGTGCAACTGCCGCTGTGCCTCGGCTTGTTGACAAAAAAGACGCCAGAAGCGAAATTTGGAAGTATTTTAGCTATATCTCTGACAGTGAGGGCAAGCCTACGGACACCACGAGGCCTGTCAGTAAGACGTGTTTTAGATCCCTGCAAACCAAGGGAGCCAACACATCAAACTTCGCTAAGCACCTCGCCAACCGGCATCCAGACAGGTTAGAGAATGTGATAGATAACATAATTACATCATGCTCAAGCCCATGCCCTCAAATCTAAGTCAAACCAGTGTAATTTATTTTGTTACAAATGAAGGTTTTCATAGTTTGCCGAGGCAATTAATGGCAATGATAACTGTCTAATATGGCTATCTTTTTAGCTAACTTACCAATGTGGTTATGGTTCTGGTGTGAAATATAAAGCACAATAATTACATTTAAGACTGTTTCCCTTTTTTTAAGAAAAGTATCGAAAAAGAATCGGAATCGCAATTCTTGACTTGGTATCGGTATCGAAACCAAAATGTTGGTATCGTGACAACACTAGTAAGAACCGGTTTTCGGGGTGCGGCATGAACAGGAAAAAACGGTGCTTATGAGGCTCAAACTCCGAATTGGCCCTGGAACCACGTTAGTGTGAAAGGGGCAACATGCGGGGCCCCGCAGTCATCCGGTTCGACCTGACTATATGGCTGTGTGACCCGCTTGCGCCTCGTCGTTCTGATAGCTCCGCCCCTTCGCTCCAACCCCCCTCCCTCCCCCCACATCTACAGGTGAAAATTACTTTAGCGACACATTCATCGCAAGAAGTGTAGCAAAAGTCAAGGCCGCAGATTCGTTGACGTTGTAATGACTGATTTGAGAGGTTGTAATAACCAAGTTGCAGTTGTAATGGAAAATATATTTAAAAAATATGTATTTTTCTGCAAGTGAACATTTCATCACTAAGTTCTTTTTTTTCTACAAGCTACAACACTTTTTTTTTTCTTCTGTGACTTCAAATTTGGTTCACAGTTACGTAGATATTTTATACAAGTGTAAATGTATGCACACAAGCTCAGAGTTTTTTTTCTGCAAGTGCTCACATCAGGTTTTACAAGCTCTCGCATTTTGCACCATATCTACCTTCATAAGGGTGGAGGATGTGATGTTTCCCACCCGCACTGCCTGGGGTCGGCCCGTCAGGAAGTTCAGGATCCAATCACAGAGGGCGCTGTTGAGCCCGAGGTCTCTGAGCTTGATGACCAGCTTGGAGGGCACAATGGTGTTGAAAGCTGAACTGTAATCAATAAACTGTAATGTGAGAGCGCAGTGTGGATGGTGAGGGCTATGGCGTCGTCTGTGGACCTGTTTGCGCTGTAGGCAAACTGCAGGGGGTCCAGAGAGTCAGGAAGGGAGGAGGTGATGAAGGTTTTGACTAACCGCTCAAAGCACTTAGCAGGTAGTCCATATACAGTATCAAGGAGAAATCGCTCCCTCAAAGCATTAAGACTCACATGACCCTAGACCAGTGGTTCCCAAACTTTTTGTGCCCAAGGCACACCAAAGGACAAGTAAAAATCTCAAGGCACACCTATTGTGCAAAATAGCCCTTATAACACGTGTTATCACTCATATCATGTAAAATATCTGTAAATGTGCATAATTATTTACTAATGCCAAATAAAATGTGACAAAGACAACTATATTACTCGTGAAATATTTATTAACGAAATATTTCAGAAATTAATTTGAAACTTTATCAAATTAGGCTTCATCAAAGCAGCAACACACTCATTTAAACCAGACAGGTCACAAAATTCAAAATGAGGCAAAGGAAACTCAGCAGAAATTCAGCACAGAGAACTGTCAATGCAAGGAAGCTGCATTGTCCTGAACTACAAATTATACATGTAACATTTCAGCAATCAGCATTGAAACATGTGCTATTGTAAATATTTTTGCCGATTTACAAATTAGTGAGATACATGTGCCTGTCGGGGCGCGCAGAATGTTTTAATCCTTGGTGGCACTGAGGAGAGGGCCACTCGCAAGTCCTGTTCAACAGAGAGCCGTGACCTCCTGTTGTTCTTCATGTAAACCAGAGTAGAGAACGCCAACTCCATGGAGATGGGGTCGTTACTAAAAAAAAATAATATAGTACATATTACTTTTTTAAAAAAAGTAATATATTACACTACTTCGTTACTATCTACATAAAGTAACTCGTTACTTTACTCGTTAATTTACTCGCCGAGCACGTACAAACTGCATGCGTGAGTGGCAATAACGTTCCTTACCAGCAGGCGGCGGTAGTGTGTATTTGTCATTCAAAACAGGCAACAACCGGAAGACAGAAAAGAAGAACAGACTGCGTGATATAAACAAACAACAAATAGCGTGTGCGGTAGCTTCACCTTAGTATGTGTTCTTTGCAGGTGCTTGTTGAGGTTTGACCACGTGGTGTTTACAGCAGTGGATAACAGCTTCTGGCCTGGACACAGTTTGCACCTCACCGTCACATTCCTGTCTATTCTTCGGACGAACTCAAAGTAATGGCCATACCTCCACCCCTCGAAAGTTATCGCTGACTCAGCCATGTTTATGCAGCACTGCACGTGGAGATGTGGATGCGCAAATCGCGCCGATTACGTACATATAAACCTACAAAGTACTGATATAGTAAATTAAAAAATTATTATTTTTGTGTAGTTGTATATTGCCATAATAACGTATGGTTGTCACAAAATCCCACGGCACACCCGGACTTGCCTCACGGCACATCAGTGTGCCGCGGCACACCGTTTGGGAACCACTGCCCTAGACAAAGTGCCAACATACACACACTAAGTGGGTAAGGGGTTTCCAATATGTCTGTGTATGCACCATACAATTATAGATACATTTTTAAAGATATTGGCCCCTTGGTAGTGTTATTGGGCACGTCTACGGTTTAAAAACCTATATGTATAAAAAATATTGGAGGGTTATGCTCATTAACATATTATTTGTGTCTGTCTCAGGTGGACACTAACCCAAAGCGTCTCAGTGCTGTGGAGAGACTGGAAGCTGACAAGGCAAAGTATGTCAAGAGCCAGGAAGTTATCAACGCCAAGCAGGAGCCAATCAAACCACCTGTGCTGGCTAAGCCTCCCGTCGGTCACACCCTCCTATCCAAAAGGGGCTCTGGGATTGGTGGAGGCGGAAATGGTGGCGGGATACCTTTCAAAGCATCCAATAACAACGCTAAGTCAGACACATGTGCAGGCAGCAGCAAACGAGAGAATTTAAACCTGGAGATCCTTAAAAATCTGCTAAACTCATCGTCATCTTCAGGAGCAACGTCCGAAGGACGAGGGGGCGGAGCTAAGAGTGCTGTGTTGATGAGGTCAGCAGGGGGAATGGCCAGAAGTTGGACACCATCAGGGTAATTTACTGCTTCAACATCAAACAAAGTTTACAAGATGTTTTTGTGTACGAGCACGTCTATGTAAAATGATCGACTCAAATGTCATAAATGTTCCTGGCTTTTTCATAAATGTTTGAACAGCCCTGTCATGGTAATATCTGTAGTTAGATGTGAAAGCTTCTGGCCCTGAGCCCCAAATACTGAAATCTAGATGACCCTTGATGTATTACTAAGTCAATAACATGGCTGAAACACATAGATGTGGAAGTATAGAAGGGGGCTATTGCAGGGATCTTACAAAGCTGTGAAGGCAGTGGCAGTGGTCATATTAGATATCCAGGTTTCAATGCATTCTCTGATTTTGTAAAAGGGGGTATTTCTAAGCTTCCCTCTCTGTCTATAAGTAGCTTAGTGTGGATGTACACTACTTGAATCCAGCCTTCGTTTAGTGCCCACACTTTACCTACCTGATGCTACAGCATTTCATGTATTTATCTTCCTGTTTCCTAGGATGCCGTTGACCTACCGATCCACCATGGCGCTGAATGAGCAGCCCCCGGACTCAGCCCCCAGCCCCAGCACCTCACACTCCCTGCGCTCCTTCTCCCATTCTCTGAAGGTCCTTCCGCTGAACAGCGGGGGGCGTCGCAGTCCACTACAGGGTGGAAACCTCAACCTTAGCAGACGAGGTGAAGGAGTCATCGATCGCTCTCGCTCCCCCCTCCCCCCCCCTCCTCACCTCCCACTCCTCCTCTGACCTCCTGCGACTGTGCAATGGAAAACCCCTGCGCACGGCCCGGTCCAGCAGCTCATCGGCTCCACCCCTCCCTCCCAAACCCAACCCCGCCTCCCTCCCACCTCCCGCACTATCCTTTTCGTTGCCCCCCGCTCGTCCAACTCCATCCCCTTCGCTCTGTGACAACAGCACCCCACAGTCACTCCCTTGTGATTTGGGAGACCCTTCAAATACTTCAACAGATGCCAACCTGGAGCTTGGTTCCTCGGTGGTCCGTCGCTCTTCGCTGCACAGATCTAAGTCAGACCTGTCAGACCGCTACGCCCGAGCCGGAGCTGACGTGGAGCGCTTTTTTAACTACTGCGGCCTTGACCCAGAGGAGCTGGAGGCAGTGGGTCCAGAGAACTTTGCTCGGGCCAACTCGGACATCGTCAGCCTGAACTTTCGATCAGCTTCTATGATCTCCTCGGACTGCGACCGGTCGCGGCGATCTTCCAACGACGGGCTGTCAGACGCGGCTGAGGAAGAGGAAGAGGAGGCCGGGGAGCGTGTTCCATATGGCATCTCGGCTGTGGAGCGAAACGCTCGAGTCATTAAGTGGCTATACAGCATCAAGCAGGCAAGAGAGACACAGAAAGTCTCCCATGTTTAGGACAAGCAGTACAGTGGAGTGGATGTACTTTAACCTACAGACTCATGTGTCAGAATGTATACATGGACCAGAAGTTCTAACAGGTTTAGAGACTGTGATCTTGGCGCCGAACTGAACATTTGTCAAAGTGTTTGGATGGATGAATAGATGGAAAAGAAGACCCACAGGTGTAACAAGCTTGGTAAGAAAACAGAAAACATTTTGTTCGGAAATTAATGAGGAGATGAGGAAAAGGACGCTATTCTAGATCAACAGGATCTCTATGAAACACAAGGAATACAACTTGGACAGTTATATGAATGACTGAATATGGAAAAAGGTTCAGTCCCTTTGAGACAAACAAACACAGGACATGTCTGAAAAGAAACTAGTTAATAAACTGTTTCTCTATGGACACTGATAATCCGACAGACAAGTCTGTCAGTCTGCTTGAGCAACAAGAGCAAAATGCACTGCGATTATCCAAGGACCCTTAAAGTGACCGCCGCACTACAGAGGAGTATAGGCCTTTCTCACAGAGGAGATTTTGGAAGTGGAATTATTTTTCTAACATAACGTCACTCAGCAATCTCTGCCCTCAGAAGTGTGTGTCCTGTCTAATCGCCATGGCCGTGTAGACACACAGTAGAGATGTACTGAGGTACCACACGTATGTCTCTTGATTAGTGTGGATTGATAGATGGGATCAAATGGATGTATGTCCCATCCAAGGTACAGACATCAAAAGCACTTATAAATCAGACTGATCAGCATTTTTGTTGCTGTTGTTAGGGCTGTTGCCTTCCTTAAAAGTTTAAGAATATCACATCATTTGTTTGAATTAATTTAGTTTTTCTTGTAGAATTCTGTTCATCTGCAGTGCCTCTATGGCCTCACTGAGTGGCAAGCTAGCAGGTAACAAGCTAGCGGGTGACAAGCTAACAGTGGACAAGCTAGCAGGAGAGAATTTGTTGTTGTGTTACAGACACTCAAACAGCTTTACTTTTCTCCACATGTGTCATGTATATGGTTGTGTCAACAGCTTCCCATTACTTCCCACAGTGTGATGAGGCTGTGGCGCAGTGGGCTAGTGCGTTGGTGTTCGGATCAGGGGAGCACAGATTCAAACCCCACTGCAGTCAGCATGTCGTTGTGTCCCTGAGACACTTCACCCCAAATTGCTCCTGTGGGGATTGCCCACAGTATTGAGTATGTAAGTCGCTTTGGATAAAAGCGTCTAATAAGTGACATGTAATGTAATGATGAGATACCTCTGTTCAGCATAGCTCACTGGCAAAGAGAAAACAATAGTAGTCGTATTCACTGCTGTGTCAGTGTTATAGTCAGAGTGCTAACTAACAAACCATTACGATTATTACTTCCACCTGTGCTTTTCCTGCAATGACAAGTCACATGTCCACTCTGAGAAAGGCCTGTTTCACAGTGTTGAGGTCTCCGTTTAAAGAAACTTTGAAAAGGGTCCTGACATCTTGGCAAAACAGACATTGAACTCTATCTGTCAAAAGTGAGATATCACTTTGGAAAGTCAGTGATGCTGGTACACTGTTTGACCATTATGAAGTCAGGTCAGATATCTGTTTGAGGTGACTGTTAAATGAACACTTCAACACTAACTTAATGGGTCACAAAGACTATTAGTTAATCGAGTTGTTAACTATGACATTTCAAAATGCTGAGAAACTAATGAAACACAAATGGCCGTAAACTGGCTTCAGCTCTTGTTAAGCTAGATATGTGAATGAGAGATAAAGGGTTTGAAGTGTGTGATGAATGATTGATGAAGGAAACAGAGGACATTGAATGACCCACAGAATAAAATTATAATCACTAAAGCATACTTATCTGTACAGCATTAAGGCTACACCAATATACATACTGTACTCTATGCTGATGATTATTAACAAATAGTCATCAACCTGTTTCACATTTCACTGGAGAGTTTTAGTGTCCTGTGATGGACCATTCAGAGGCTGTTCCTCCTGCCAATTAGAATTCAAAACATGAATACATGAATTTGAAGAGATTGTATCTCATGATGCCTCTGTATTTTTTTTGTGAAGTTCAAATGAACTATGGGGCGTGTACGCTTTAATATGGTTTTGACTTGTGTGAACTGCAGCATGCTTTTGCTGTAGTCCAAATGTACTTCCAATTGTAGGTTATTCTGATGATGCAGGATGACATCACCAAAGCTGTCCAATGAATGATCCAATAATCATATTCCTCCTTTTAGTTAATGGCAAGGTCAAAACATTAAACTATGCAGTGGCCTAAACAATCAAACCTGTACTTGTATTACATATGTAATCACTTCTTCACTTGTTACTCAGTGAAGTGTCTTACATACCTTCACATGCTTATCTGTGGAATAATTCAAAAGAACCTGAAGCCCCTGAGTACGTCACACAATCCACAACTTTAGAAACCACAGAATTTGCCTCTAAGATCCTCTAAACTCATTCGTAATCTTGGATTAAATAGATAACACCTCAAGCATTTCCCAGCTGTAATATCCTTTATATATACAGTCTATGGTAATATCGCAAGACACCAAAACCCTCCTTTCAAAACAATGGTATCTGTGATTATGTAGAGCCCCATGCATTATACATACACTGAAAGCAATACTATCGAACTTCTCTGTTAACTATTACAGGACATGTTACAGTACAGTAGAGTATAAGAAGGTCAAAGGGCAATTGTGGTAATTTCATGGGTGTTCTTTCCAAATGACACTTCAGATGTTGGCTCTTTATAGACACGTAAATGCATCCTACAACAACATACACAGAAGGAACTCCAGCAATGCTTCTGTATTAAGTTTTAGAAGAGTTGAGTTTATGATGCTGTGCTTTGTCTCTCTCAGGCTCTGTCTCTGGGTCCTCAAAGCCAGCCACAGGAAGGAACCTGTAGCTTTACCTTGTGTGTTAGCTGATAATGAAGGATGGATGGATTACGCAGTTTACCTCCACCCTCCACTTTGTCACCTGTCTACATGTCTGCATGTTGCCGGCATGTCTCTAGGCCTGAAGCCATATTGGTGTGAATGCAGCGCCTCAGTCAGTGTCTACCTACTGTTAGTGTGTCTGTCTGCCCCCCCCCCCCTTCAGTCTGTCAACAGCTACAACCAGCTGGGCTTCACTTCCAACAAAACACTACCCCGTCCCCGGCGGTATCGGTGGTATGGATGCATCAACATCTGAGGTTTGCTGGATATAAACAAATGGCAAAATAGTGTGTGGCACAGGGCTGATGGATAGTTGCTCGCCGCTAAGCTAAACTGTTGTAACTCAAATGCTACTTTTATCAAATTGTGCATTTTGGCCACAACTTCACTACTCGAGGTACATTAAACCACCTTTAGGACATGAATTGGGCCAATTATGATACAGTATAGCAACACGGATGAAGAACAGATGTGGTAAATGATAGTGTACTAAGTGACATCTGGATTTTGTATTAGATTTGAGACAGTTGAAATGAACGTTTTAAATATGTTTTCAATGTTATGTCCAACAAAAAACCTTACCTTACAACTTAATACTGGGATCCAATGGGGGACAAATCCAACAATCCTGGATCCACCCAAAACTCCAGCTGAAATGAATATGATGTTTAATCCATCTGTGTAAGCCAAATCATCGTGTATATCATGATGTTGGTGTGTTTGTATAACCCTAACCCTAGCAATACTGTCCAAAGGAAAGACACAGAGGAAATGTCTTACATTTTTTTATTTAGACTGTTGGCATTGTAGAAGTTGTCAGTGGTCTAATTTTTTGATGCATCCCGTCTTCCTTTAGAGTGGAAGTGAAGTGAGGCCTGGAGGAAGTTGCCCCCCCCCCCCAATCACCTCACTCAGAGTCTCAGCTCAGGGTTGTGTAAGCACGTTCCTGTCCAACCCCCTGACAAGCCCTCCCATGTGTTCCTCTAAAACCCGGACCCCCTGCTGCTTCTCTCTCTCAGCATTCATGAAAACAATAGGGTGATGTCCTGGCAGCATCATCATGCTTCAGTTGTTCTACATGGCGTGTATTTAGTTCTGTTTTGTATTTTTGGATTGACAGATAGAGTTCTTCTGTGGTACTTTTATTGTTTTCTTTTTTTCAATATGTAAATGCTGTAAGAACAAATGTATATATTTGATTTCAAAAGCCACGTGTTGGATTTCAGTTTTTCTCTGTCTGAAGGTCTACGTGTTACAAAAGATTCCGATAAAAAAAACTGCTGTTTTGCTCTTTGCCCTCGGTACAGAACTGCCTGATCACACTGAGTGTTTCAGAGACGTAGTGTTGACTGTGTTTTTCGACGTGGAAACTGTTACATTTTGCTTGATTAAAAAAAAAAAAAAAGTGTCCATGTTTAGTTTCTTTTGATTCTTTCAATAAATGGCTTATTTTGCCATCTCTCTCACTGATGTTATTTTAAGTTTTAACTGTTGCTGCCACTGTGAACAAAAGGATTAAGGCACAATAGTACTTTGCAAGTACTTTGCCGTACTTAGTTCCCAGCACTTAGTTCCCAGCACTGATCGCGTTCACACCGGAATAAGTTCCTGGGGGAGGATTAGGCAAATGAAGCCGCTGACGTCACTTCTTCTTCTGCTTTGGGTTTACTGGCAGGCCGCAAACAACTTCACAGCGTATACTGCCACCCGAAGTCCCCGGAGTTGGGGACTGGCTTCTACTGAAGCCTTCCGAGTACATTGCCAGATGGCGAGGCTAATGGTTTTCCATCTTGTTGTCCTGTAACAGTGTGAATTTAGGTGTGACTTCATTCCCAGCTACAATTTCTAACTTCACACTTTTTCACCAAGGTACTTTGTTTATGCTCTCAGAAAATGTTGAAGCGATAGGACACCTGAAAAAGGCTGTATGGGCACCCAGCTTTGGAATGAGTGGCCGTCACAAAACTTTGATATCTCTATCTGAGAAAATACATGACTCCAAAATGACCCATATAGCAGAAATAATGTTTGAGTATCAGGAAACATCTTAAGGAAATTAGTTTAAATGTGTCAATGTGTTGTAAAATGTAATGTTTTTTCTCTTATTTCTTCAAAAACGGTACTGGGCAAATGAATTCAATGTTATATGATAAAAGGAAATGTTCTGCATACGTGTTAACAGGTCTTTATAAAGAGATCAAGGGACAAGGCCAAGTAGGCGTCATATTTAAGTGCCTGAGCTATGCTATATCCTACTAAGATAGGGCAGAAGCGTTCTGTGTTTTCGGACCCTGGGCAACAGCTGCAAAAATAATGATGTTTTCGGTGTGCATTGGCTTTCGAAGAGAATCTTTTTTTTAAATAGTTTCAAGAGACCCTAGAGGGGGAGCAGGCTTTCCAAAATGGCCTGCTCAAGGTCACTGCAACGGCCAATGCAGAGCTGGAGAGGGGCAAGGCTCCAAGGATCGCCGGCCTTCCTGCAGACTTTTACGAGACGTTCTAGGCCAAACTTGATGGATAACACTTGTCTGGTCTGAGAGCAGTCTGAGTAAAGAGCCTTCCAGTCACAGCGAGCAGTGCTGTTCTCTCTGATGTTGTTATAATCATCTGATCTTATATATACATGTCTCTTATAGTGTTAATTTCGTCAGCTATTTTTTTATTTAGTTTTAGTCTTAGTCCTGTGTTAAATTTTCTTTTTAGTTTTAGTCATATTTAGTCACCTTCATCCTGTTTTTATTTAGTCAAGTTTTAGTCGACTAAAAGTCTGAGCATTTTAGTCTTATTTTAGTCGACTAAAACAGTAAACATTTTAGTCAAGATTTAGTCGACTAAAAGTCTGAGCATTTTAGTCTTATTTTAGTCAAAGAAAACTAATTATTTTAGTCTACTTTTTGTCAATGAAAACTGTTGAGTCTTTTTTAGTCATCAGATTATATAGAACATTTCAGTCAAACTAGTCTAGCCAAAACCAATAATTTGTCATTTTAGTATATATAAATAAATAAGATTATATCTTGTCCTTATTTGATGAAAAACACAGGTTGAATGATTAAGCAGCTTTGCAGAGAGGATCTGCTCAGGTTTGTGGTGTTTTTACCAGCTGTGTTATGGCCACATTGCTTCCCTTCTGATAAAACAATGCATTCGCTTTTTTTCTCCGCCTCATTGTAGCGAAAATGGGCCCAAATATCACATCGTTTCTTTCTCCCAAGCAGTGGTGGCTTTAGACTTTTTCGTTGTCAGTCATTTTGACGGACAGGATCGTAACATTTCCGTCATAATCCATTATTATCCGTCGAGTGCACAATTTATCTCTCACTCGCGCTGACGGCGGGGGGGGGGGGGGGTCTTCGGTTAACGCGAGTGCGACCACTGCTCCCAAGCCCTGTTGTTGCCATTTTATTTTCTGTTAAATAGGGTTAGTTAGACCATGAGTTAGACCCGAGTCTTCCTGACAGTTCACAGTGTGCCGCTGCCCGGTGTAATTCAAATCTACCGCCGCGCGCACCACAGACACACAGCTGCTGCCCTGCCGCAGCACCGGAAATGGAACTGCTGGGAGAAAAACTGACTATCAGAGATGTAACGTTATCTTTGATAATATTTCGTCTCCTCATTTTTCGTCAACGAAAGTAAAGAGAGATTTTGGCATAGTTTTTATTTAGTAAACTACATTTTCGTCTCGTCACTTTTCGTCAACGATATTGCATGATGATTTCGTTACAGTTATTGTTTACTGCCGTCGGTGCCGTCTCGTCATCGTCTCGTTTTCGTCATGGAAAAAAAGGTCGTTGACGAACATATTTCGTCATAGTTTTAGTCAACGAAATTAACACTAGTCTCTTATTTGTACTTGTATCAGTGGCGTTTCTAGGTGTACAAAACTGGGGGGGGCAGAAAGAGGTCGAGGGAGAGAGAGAGAGAGAGAGGGGGGGGACAGAGAGAGGGAGGAGAGAGAGAGGGGGGACAGAGAGAGGGGGAGTGTCAAATGACATACTGAAGACCACAGGAGCAACACTGTGAGCGCATACATTTACGTACACAGCGTGGGGATGTCATAGTAATGCACCTTCATACATGGAGTAAAGGTCACCATCACAAAGTAATTCTTAACAATAACAACAACCGTAATGCTTTAGCATTAAAACACCATAGACTGTAAATATAAGGAAAACACAGACACTCATCATCGAGGTCACAATATCAATCGATCCAGCAGAGGCAAAACACAGAAGATCAACAAAATATATGACATAAATGAACTTACCAAAGCTGAAGGCTCACTTGAAAAGAAAAGCGGCACGGCGGTCCTTCCTCTGACAGAATGTGTCTATCACTTTGGGGATGAAGTCCTGTAGTTGCTGGATCAACTGGCTTTCAATTGAAAGCATGGCCAATGCGTTAAGTCGCGGCTGTCCCATGGTGTTGCGAGTGAAAGTCTTTATCCTTTTGAGGGTGGAAAAGTTCCTCTCTGACTCGGATGTCGTCATCGGAGTTGTCACTATTATTTTGACCAAAATAACAGTCTCAGCAAACGTTTCCTCCAAGTTGTTCTCGTGAATGGATTTCAACAGAGACAGGGCAGTGTTTCCAGTGTGAAGCTCACTGTGGCGGTAGAGCGTGGTCAGCTCAGACTTCAACTTCTCCTTGTTTCCCAACGCAGGCCACAGTTTCACGGCGCAGTCAAGCTCAGGTGTAGGAAATGACAGGACATGCTGTGGGAAGAATGAGCTGTCAACAAGCTTTGCAGCGATCAAATGGTCACTCTGTGAGAACCTCTGTTCCACCTGTGAGATGACTGTGTCACAAGCCTCCTTCATCACCGGCGCTGTGCTGCTGACTCGTCGGCCTGGCTCGTCTGTTCCATCATGAGCAGTGGCGGCCAATGCATCAGTTTTCTGCCTCATTTTCTGAACATTTTCCTTGAAACGGCAGAGCGCGCTGTTGATCCCAGGTGCATCGATGCTTCGTTTTTGCAGAGTGTTGTATAGAACATCCACTTCTGGCATAAGCAACGAAAAAACTCCAGGAGCTGCATAAATGCTCGGTCCCGCAGTTTCTTTGACAGGCCGTATGCCTCACTTATGGTGACCGCATCCCATCCTGGTTGTGCGCGTATATGCTTCATACACTGAAGTAGTGCATCTCGGGTCTCCCAAACCGCGTTCACAGTTCTGCTTTTAAAGTTCCATCTCACAGCCGGTGGCGGTGGGATGCGTCTCTGTGTTGCCTCTGCAAGAGCTGCAACACGTTTTGGAGCACCGGAGAAAAAAGTGGAAAAAGCAGTTATCTGCAAAAAACACCTTCAGGATGCTCATCCTTGCTGAACACAGTTGCTGCAGGGTCAGGTTCAGTTGGTGGGCGTAGCAGTGAACAAACTGAGCGTGTGGGTACGTCTCCTTCATCACCGTCTGTACCCCGCGCACGTTACCGCTCATGACGGCCGCCCCGTCATAGGTCTGAGCGATTAGCTTTTCTTTCAGCTTCAGGGGTTCCAGAACAGCATTGATGCTGTTAGAGAGACCTACACCAGTTTTGTCCTTTACTTCCACAAACTCCAAAAAACGCTCTGTAACTGTGAGGTCAGGCATAATGTATCGCAGCACAATCACCATTTGCGATTTACAGGAGACATCGGTTGTCTCGTCGGCCTGAACGGCAACAAATGATGTGTTGTCCACTTGCTTGGCTATTTCCTCCCTGTACACATCATACATGCAGTCCAAGAGTTCATTCTGTATGGTGCTTGATGTCCCTTTGAAAACAAGCTGAGCTTCGTAGTGCCGTTGAAGCCTGGAATCGCCCTCACACATTGTCTCGAAAATTGACCTGAATATCCCTGGATTCAGAGAGTCCGCCGACTCGTTGTGGCCCCGCAGTGCTGTCTCACATTTCCCACACAGTTTAATACAGGTGATGATCCGACCAAGCACGTACCTGTTTTCTTCCACCTTCCTATTATGAGAATCAATGCCGCGTCTGTAGGCGCTGTCAATCTGAGCTGCAACATTCACCCTTCCAAGTAATCCCAATTTTACGGCATTTTCCAAATGACTGTTGCTGCTCTCATGCTTCATTGTCCTCTCCGAAAGATGCTTTAAGTCCTTGTAACCTGTCCTCGACCAAGTACCTTGATCTTCACCAAAAAGCAGGCAAGGAAAGCAAAAGAGGGAATTCTTCTGGATGCTCGCCGTTAGCCATTTCTTTTTAGCAAACCACTCAGCGTTAAACCCACGTTTAACTTTGCCCGCAGTCTGGACCATTTGGAAATCCGGTGGATGGTGGGCACCGAGGCGCTTTACCTCCAGTTTCTCTCCGAGACTAAGTGTCTCAAATGTGTGCTCCAGTAAATGGTCAACTTCATTCATTTTCTTTCAGTTTTTTACTTCTTTTAATCGCTGGTG